GAAAAATTAACAAGGGCAACACAATACTTTCTGTAGATGCCGCATTGAAAAACAGAATATGTATAATGGAGAAATTAAACATAGGATGGAGGCGTTATGTGGTACATGAATTTTCTTCTGTTGTAAGATGTTTCAAGTGTGCACGTTACGGGCATGTTGCTGGTAATGTGATAACGAAGTTACCTGTTACAATTGTGCGGGCACACATAAAACTTCGGAATGTACAAGTGTTGATCTAAAATGTATTAATTGTTCAGAAACCAACAAAAAATTTAGTAAATCCTTGAAAACAAATCATTCAGCCACGGATCCAGAGTGTGCATGTTATAAGAGAATTGTGGATACTGAAATGAAAAAAACAAGAACTGAATAGCAACCAAAGAATAGAGTGAGAAATACAAGTGACAGTTTCATTAGCTTATTCCACCAGAATGTGTAAGGTATTTCAAACTGCATAAATAATATTTCAGTGACAATCAGTGACCTGGACGTACAATTCTTTGCAATAACTCTGAGCACTGGCAATCCTCAGCAAGCATTGAGGCGTTTCAACTGGAAAACTACAGGATGGTTTCCTCGCATTGCAGAACGACGGAAAACGCTAATGGAGGAGTGGTTCTTTATGCACAAAATTCGTTAAACTCAATTATCAGGCATGATATTAATGCACTAAGTATGGATTACGTGTTTGAGTGTACTGCAGCAGAATTCAAAGTCAACAATGTGTCATGTGTTATTTGTGTAGTTTATAAACCTACTGCCACTAATATTGATATCTTCATCGATAAAATGGAAGGCATTCTTGAAATCTTATCAGAAGAAAATAAATCAATAATAGTGGCAGGAGACTTCAACGTAGATATGTCGCCATCAGCAAAAAATGTTAAAAACAGAGACATGGTAATTAATCTGTTAAATTCTTATTATATGAGCATCTAGGTGATAGACCCAACTAGAGTAACAAAATCGATATCAACTTGTCTAGATAACATCTACATTTCAAGTTACCTAAATTTTGATATGAGTGTTCTTAGCAACAATATCTCTGATCATTTTGCTCAGTATATAAAAATTCATAAAGATAAATATCATGACAAAATTTATGAATATAGAAGAGTGTTATCAAGTCTTATTATAAAAAATTCTATGAATAGTTGACAAATGAAACTTGGTTATCTGTTTATGAAGCAACTTCTGTTGATGATAAGTACAACAACTTCATTTCAAGTCTGCTGAATCTCTTTAATTCAGCATTTCCTATGAGAAAGTTCAAAATTCAATCTAATACGAAACCAAATTGTATTTCAAAAAATATATGTGATGCCAAAGAAACACTTCTTCTTTTCTCGGAGCTCTACCAACAAAATCAAATTTCAAAGGAAATGTTTAATGACTATAAAACTTTTTATTCCAACTTGATATTAACTGATAAAAAGAATTACTATGGAAAAAAATCACAGAAACAGATAATAAATCAAAAACTATCTGGAATATTATAAATACTGAAAAAGGAAAGCTGAGAACAAAAAAATACTCATTTGAAGGCATAAAAGTCAACGAAAATATGATCTGCAATGCATGCTAGTGAAATTTTTAACGACTTCTTTATCAATATAGCCTCTGATCTAGTTGGCGGTACTCCTGAAAATGTAAATTCTGATAGTGTTAAAGAATGTTGTAATTCTATTTTCTTGAGTGATGTAACTACAAATGAAGTTCTAGAAGTAATCAAGGGCTTGAAGAATAAAAATTCATCTGGAGACGACGGTATAAGTAATGTAACATTAAAAAGAATCAGCAGATATATAGTAGAACCTATCACTTTTATAATAAATGAGTCATTCAAACATGGAGTATTTCCAGAAAAACTGAAAATCGCAGCTGTGAAACCGTTATTTGAAAAAGGAGATCCACTCATGTTAGAAAATTAAAGACCTATAAGTTTGCTATCCAGTTTCGCAAAATTATTCGAAATATTGATGTGCTGAAGATTGATCCATTTTCTGAACTTGAATAATATTCTCCTGAAAAATCAACATGGTTTTCAGCAAGATAAATCAAAAACAATAGCAATTTTCAGTTTTCTTACAAAATTACTTGAATATTTAGATGACGGATATTTGGCCCATGGTATATTTTTGGACTTATCAAAGGCTTTTGATTGTGTACAAAAATTGGAAAAAATGGGTTTTGGAAATATTGCACACAAATGGTTTACATCTTATCTAACCAATCGCAAACAGAGAGTGAGCATCAGAGATAATTCTGTGGATCGCAAATCAGAAAAAAAAATCACAATAGGCGTTCCATAGGGCAGCGTCCTTGGTCCTGTGCTATTTTTATTGTACATCAATGATTTACCAAGTATTATCTTTGATACATCTACTTTTTCAACAAATTACGCGGATGACACAACTATCTTAGTTGCTGATAAAGATTATGATGATCTCAAACGAAAGACAGTTGATATTACTTCAGACATAGCAGGGTGATTCAAAAATAACAACTTGTTACTGAATACACAAAAAACAAACTGTTTACTATTCAGACATAGCAGAAATAATTGTTTGTATTCAAAGGAAATCAATATTCAGGAAGTGGACGTTTCTTACTGTGAATCAACGAAATGTTTAGGTGTCACAATAGATGTTCATTTGTGCTGGACAGATCATATACAGGTACTCTGTGGAAAACTAAGCAGTATTTGTTTTTCGCTCAAAGAACTCAAAAAAATTGAACACCACAACATTCTATTAACAGCTTATTACGGTCATTTTTATGCCATAATGAATTACGGCATTTTATTTTGCGGAGGATCACAGAGTCAAGTCTTCATCGTTCAAAAGGGCAGTTATGATAATCTCAAATCTTAGGTACAATGACTCTTGTAGAGGTTTTTTCAAGAAATTAGGCTTTTTAACTATTCCTGCACTATTTATATTCCAGTGTCTTTGCTATGTTCAAAAGAATAAATCATTATTCAGACAATATATTTTATATCATAAACATAACACACGACGAAAAGAAGTATTTTGCTATCCCCAACATAAAAAAACATTATATGAGAAAGGTTGTTTTTACAAATGTTTACAATATTATAACTTACTGCCAGATCATCTACAAAACTTGAACTTCATAGCTTTTAAACATATTGTTAGAAAAAAAATAGTTGCTGCTGAGCCCTACAAAATAGATGAAATTTCACAATATCATTTTATATAATCTCTCACTTATATTTACCAACTAATGGTGTATGTTGAATCGAGAAAGAATAAATTTTCAGTGTTTTTAATCAGAAATAGTGGCACTGTAGGTTTTTTCGGGTGTTCCTGCAGTTTCTATGCAAATGCGACATTTTCAAAATCTGTAAGCCGCCCCGAAGCGCATCACTCTGAGAAGACAACAAACATTGATAATTACAATCTCCAAATATTCTTTGTTTGAATTATTATTATGTATTATTTAAGGAAGTTTGACTTGTACTATAATAAAATGTAATTTTTGTCGCTGGTATAAATAAATTCTATTTTCTTCTATTCTATTCATATACTTCATCATTGTCTAAGTATTAATTATTTTGATTTCGTATTCCGCTGAAGAAACGAATGAAATGAAATATTGATGAATACTTGCAAAATTATATGTAATATCAGTGATTCGAATTCACCGCCATCCCCAAAATCGTTTCGATTGCTCCATACATTCTTGTCCACTGGGCAGTCAAAGACATTTCATGCAGAAAATTCACTTACCTTGCTATAAAAAAATCAACGCATTTTCGATTGCCCTCTACATTGTTGTCCACTGGACAGTCAAAGACATTTCATGCAGAAGATTAACTAACCTTGCTATAAAAAAATCAACACATCACCTGTCATATACAAAAATGTACTCACTTTCCTATCAGGAATATTGCACAGCCTCAACTATCCATCCAGATACCCGCTCAGAAAGTACCTGTCATCGCGCGAATGAACCACAATCGCAGTCACGAAATCTATATGCTGGAAGCAACACAAGCACTCCTTCCTCGATATGTCCCACAACCTAACGGTCTTGTCTATCGACGAAGACAGTTGAAGTAGTTCTACACGCCCAAGAGGTCAAACGATTGCAAGAAATCTTCAAAAAATACTTTCCTTCGTTTCTTCAACAAAACTTGACAGGGAGATTCAAGACAATCTTGATCTATATACATTTTCATCACCTAAGGATCAGATTACGTTTCGTATTCTATAATACTTGCGGAATTTCATGTATTATCTGTGATTTGAATTCACCGCCCCGCCCAGAATGGTTCATAACTGGTTGATAAATGCTCTCCCACTGCCCACTCGAAAACACTTCAGGCAGAAAATCAACTAGCTATAAAAATCTTCAACTCATGAAATGCACTCACCTTTTTGTCAGGGATGTTCCACAGTCTCAATTTGCCATCCAGAGATCCGCTTCTTTTTTTTATCGCTTGGAGCGCACGAAAGGAAATCCCTATAATGTTCAAAGAACGTGCCTTCCTAGGAAGGATAGGGATAGGATGTAGGTATTGGAATTTTTTGAAGAGTATCTGTCATCGCGCGGATGAAACACAATCGCAGTCACAAAATCGATATGCTGAAAGCAACACAAACACTCCTTTCTCGATATGTGCCACAGCCTGACGATCTTGTCCATCGATGAGGACAGTTGAAGTAGTTCTAGACGTCCAAGAGTCAAAACGATTGCAAGAACTCTTCAAAAAATACTTTCCTTCGTTTCTTCAACAAAACTTGACAATCTTGATCTATATTCTTTTTCATTACCTTAGGATCATATTACGTTTTGTATTCTTCGATACTTGCGGAATTTTATGTATTATCTGTGATTTGAATTCACCGCCCCGCCCAGAATGAAACATATATCATATATCTGGTTGATAAATGCTCTCCCACTGCCCACTCGAAAACACTTCACGCAGAAAATCAACTAGCTATAAAAATCTAAAACGCATGAAATGCACTCACCTTCTTGTCAGGGATGTTCCACAGCCTCAACTTGCCATCCAGTGATCCACTCAGAAAGTACCTGTCATCGCGCGGATGAAACACAATCGCAGTCACAAAATCGATATGCTGGAAGCAACACAGACACTCCTTCCTCGATATGTGCCACAGCCTGACGGTCTTGTCCATCGACGAGGACAGTATGAAGTAGTTCTTGGACCACGAGACGTCCAATAGGTCGGATGTGTGGCCGGCGTAGGTGCAGAAGGGCTTCGGCATGAAGGTCAGTTTGTTGACCTCGTCGGCGGTGAGTCCCTCGTAGGCGGCGTGGATGGACTGGTCGGTGGAGTGGTGGGAGGCGAGGGACTCTTGCGATGGCGTAGGGGAGACTTTCTCGGCGTTATATTTGGTGCGCATATCCTTGAAGAGAAGCATGAGGAAGTTGGTATCATAATTGAAGAGTCAAGTAGATGAAATAGGGAGTTGACATAATTCCTGCTCTTCCAGTTATTGTTCACTAGATATCTGACAAAGTATTTGGATTCAATAATTTTTGTAGTAGTAAACAATTGATCACATCTATGAAAAATTAGACTTCCTAGAAAAAAATCAGATATCTCTTTCAATCAGTTAGTATCCCCAGTCAATCTTTGTTTGCATTTTCCTGAATTTGAACGATTTTATCTCATCATTTATCCAATCAAAAATATTAACATTACAATATACAGGATTGGGATGAGGTATCCAACCAAGCAAATATTTTTGAAACGAAAAAAGCGGAATTTATGAAACTTTGCAGTCAAGTCCAGTTCAACCGAGAACACCCAACTTTTTCAATGCAAATGAGACACCCTGTAGTTTCCTGCAAATTTTGATAAATCTTGATATTTGGAATTCGTGCATACTGGGTTTGATGAATAGAATAGAAGGTAATACATTTACAAATTTTTAGATTTTGTGACAAGTCATGATGTAGGTAAAACTTTAGAATAGTAATATGTAGAATAAGCAGTAAATACAATATTTTACCTACGACCACTACAGAAAGTAGGCAAGAACACACGAGATACAGCTTCAGTAAGTAGCTCCTTACGCACAGTAAACACATCGCACAGTTATCGTTTATTCCGCCAGTCATGATCGCGTAATCGCCGTATAACTGTCAAGAATTATAATTCAGACTGTCCGAACTTTTCTGTTGTACTCTATGCCAGTAGGTAAAGTATAGTACGTAATGCGTGTTGAAAAGCGATCACGCACTCCATTCGTGCGTAATATGCTTCTTACAACACATATTACGTAATATACTATTACATTCTGTAATGTTCACAAAACATCGTGAGAACCAAGAAAAATAAGGTAGGAATTGGTGTTCTTAAATTTCTGAAGATTATATGCCTCGGGGAACACCTCTCTTGGCAATGTGTTCCAGAGCCTCGCTGTTCGTTGGATGAACGAGTCTTCTGAAAGAGATGTTCTGCAGGTCTCCAAAGTGACCACGAAGGAGTGCGAAGCCTTAACTCGATGGGTTAATCTCGCGGGGACTGCCAATGGAGGAAAAATTGTTGATATTTCAAAAGAGCATCGTCCATGAAAATATCTATGAAATAGGGCCAGATCGCCAACTTGTCTACGGTGTTCCAGAGAAGTGGCCACTTGGGAGTGAGGCAAAGCAAACTTACGAACTGCTCGTCCTGTGACGAAGGAACTCATACTTCCACTATCAATTATATAACGTAAGGGTTGATACTCCCCTCGACTATCAAGAGTATCAATCCATGCAGTGGCTAATAGCAAGCTGGTATTCAAACCACCAACCTGTGTGCCCGCCAAACAAGGGGTAGTACTACTACTTGCACCAGCATTGACACTATTCGCAGAATAAGAGGGAGAAGACGAACTTTGTTACTGATTATTCCGAATACCACTCTGATTAGCAAAATTATTAGAAGAATTTATGTTCGAATCTGAACGAAAAGGATGTCAATGATGTTACCTAGATTTGCATTTTTTACAAGTGTAATTGGATTTGCATGATCGTATTTATGAGCACTGCTCAAACAATTGAAGCAGAGATAAGCTGATCGGCAGAAAAAGTAGCGTTCTGATTCGGCAGCAGAAGCAGCACATGTGTAAAGTGAATGATTTTCTTTACACAAGGCACAATTAGTAGTTGAAGACTTGTTAATGAAAAATGTAGAAGTCAACAATGGGCGATTTGGCGAAGGTGCGGGAGCAGGCGGTTAAATGAAAGGAGCGCGTTTAGCATGGAACGAAGATTGAGAAAAATTAATTGTTTCAAGTGCGGAACAATGCTTGTTCAAAAAATCAACAAGATGTTTATAAGTTGGAATATCCGAGGAATTGAGTTCTAGCTCGAAGCAGGTTACAATAGTATGATTAAGACGTTTCAAAAGCATCATAACAAGTAAAAAGTCCCAATGTTTGGAGGTAAATTTCATTTGATTGAGCGCGGCCAAGTTTTCTTAAAACGTATCTAATAGTTTGCGAAGGGCAATGGTATTATCAGAAGGAACTTTCGCAGAATTCTCAAGCTCGAGCCAATGAGCCTGAGTGCGTAAACGTGTGTGTGTATCATTCTTCTAAAGTATGGTATTCGATTTCATAATTATCAGAAATCAAAGGTAATGTGCGAACAAGCGATAAAGGAGCACCCTGTAACGACGAGACTGAATAATTTAATTTCTCAATTTCATTTATCGCTGTATTGAAATGAACAAGGAAATGCCTTATAATCTCCACCAAATTAGGGAAATTCTATTTTTGGCAGATTGACATGCGACTGATGGGTATTCCTAGACGGTGCAAGAGTAGAATTCAAACCTGGAGATGCAGTAGAACTATTGAGAGATTCAAATAGATCAGTATAAACGCCTCTGATGAAATAATAATCTTCCGAAAAACCCTCGCGCACACCGTCTTTAATATCGACATCGCTATCTGTAAGCGTCAACAATGTCGTGACAACTGCGTTGTGTTGTTTCAAAAATTCATCGCGGGTATTATCCAAATCGACACATCGAACGTTAAACATTGTTCGAACAGTTTCATCGAGTTTCGCACGTTCCGCTAAATTTCGAATGATATGAATTTCATTCATATACGTTGTTCGATAGGTTCGATACTTTTTCAACTTATCGGCAATGATTTGGATTTCAAGCAATCTACTTAGTTGAAAGAATGCGTGATATCAAGTAGAATACTCAATGATTTCACAACTTCAGCCACAAATAACCAATCTCAAAGCATATAATGCGACCTTCAAAAAAATGGACCAAATGTTAGCGAATCGATAGTCTAGATGTGGTTCGAATTACGTGGACGTTATCCAAGCAGTTATTAAATAAATACATTACCCACGAGACGAATTGCCTTTTTTTGGACAGAATCCAACAGTTTCAGGGTATGTTTGGGTACTACACTTCAAATATGGGAACAGCATTGCACACGTAGGCCACACATTGTAAGTGTTTCAACTTGTTGGAATAAAAACTTGAAAATTGGTACGCTATTATAACTATTGATCATTTCCAATCTACCTCGAATATTTTTAGTCCTCCAGTTATACACGGTGTGCCAAAATTCGATAAAGCGATAAAAAAAAACTAATATTTGTTTCACATGGTTTGATTGGTCTTCTTATTTCTTCGAGATATGTCGATTTTTCTGAAAATAATCACCGCCTAGAAACATATTCGATGGCTCAAAATTCTTTAACTTTGATAACACCAGAGTTCGTATGGGGACTCCCACCGAGACCTAGGTTCGAATCCTAGTTAGGCCTTGGATGTTGGTGTATGTATGTATACCTAACCCCGCACAAGTTTCGACTTATGGGGCGTTTGGTCCCAGTGCTGGGACCAACGAGGTATGCAATTGCAAAAAAAAAAGAATATACTGTAACGAAAAATTGAATTTGTCCTTACATTTTTGTGCAATGTCAAACATATATAATTTATTCTCGCCAATAGTACTGTGACACCGTGAGTATCATCTCTAATACTAAGCTTTGCAATCCTAATCGCTCTATGACCCACCTCTGCCAGTTCCGAACCGCTTGAGATTGAGCTTCCGTGAAAAATCCCCTTGTGATCTATGGTAGTTTTATGTTCCATGTCAATATATGAATTATTTACCCAGTTGGTAGACTGATGAACATTTTCTGTTTCACTCCCTCAGACTGGAGGATAGTGAATATCGAAAAAGAAAATATGTCGATAAAAAAAATGTCGATAAAAAAATAAAAAATTTTGAGTTTTTTTGTGAATCGATAATATTGATTATTGGAGAATGTTAGCTCTCTTGATTTTTGGCTCTCGACCTGAACGGTCGACTAAGATTGAATTTGAGACAGGTATAACCTTTCATTATTGTACTTTCTTGATTCTCAATAACTATCAAATATTAGCTGATAGTTAGTTGCAGTTTCTTAAATAAAAGTTAATTCATTAAATCCTGATTTTTTTTTTCACTAGTTTGCTGAAATTATTACATATTACTCAACTTAGGTTCGGCATGGCACGTGTCTGATCTAATGGTTTTTCAATTCAATTACCCATGAATTCCCTATAATCCATGCTTTTGCTGATAATAATAACTATTCCTGCATATATAGTAGCTTTTGTTAATTCGCCATCACATTTATCAAAATTTAAATGATAAAACAGGTTCCTAGGACTGAGTAAAAACCATTTTTCTGATTTACTGTAACTTTAATTGAGACGGTTTTCATCATAGGGTATGTTCTTTTCTGTCCTTTGATAATTTTTCACTGCTACCCAAGGTGCAATACAATACAGGAGGATATAAATTGAGGAAAAGTATTTGAAGATACAAATCCAAGGATTGTGCAACCAGAAAAGGAGGACCTTTGATGTAGTAAGCTGTGTGTAAGGTGAGTGTATTTTCAATTTGTATCTATAACTAGTAGATCATCTTCCTACCTTTATCGACATAAGTGAGACTCCACTCTCTTACACGACAGACGTAATTGTCCTTCTTGTTTGTATCCACGTCTTTCATATAAAAGAAACTTTCACACATGGTGGTGTATTATTTTCTTATACTGGTGCATTCATTCACATCTTTCATATAATAGTAACTGCCCCACATTCTGGTGTAGTATTTTTTTGATACTGGTGAATTATTCACCTATTTCATATAATACCAACACACATGGAGGTGCAGTATTTTCTTATACTGGGAATTTTTCACATATTTCATATAATAGCAGCTTCACACATTTTTGTAGTTATTTCGTGTAGTAGTGAACTATATATTGAATCAGCAAGTATTTATGTTTTCTGCTGGAACGTTGATTAACTGTTGTTACTGGGTGTTTTTTTTTTCTCTATCACATTTTTGGACACTGCAACTAGAGCTAACAGTTATTTAATGGT